ACCTACAAATTCATCACAGCACAATTGACAATTGCAAAGATGTAGAATCAACCTTAATGCCCATCAACCAATCAGTGGATAATGACAATGTGGTATGTGTGTGTATACACACACACACACACACACACACACACACACACACACACACACACACACACACATACACACACACCATGGATTTCTACACAACCATAAAAAAGAATGAAATCATGTCCTTTGCAGCAACATGGATAAAACTGGATATCACCATCCTAAGTGAACTGACTAAGAAACAGCAAACCAAATGCCACATGTTCTCACTCATATGCAGGAGCTAAATGGTCACAAAGATGGAAATAATAGACAATGGGGACACCAATAAAGAGGGAGAAACGAGGGGGGCTAAGGTTCAGAAACTATCTATGGGACACACACAAAAAAGACTACAAATGGAATGGCCTGGCTAATCTGGAAAAGAGTTTCACGATTTGTAAAACCTTAGCCGATGGCTCACATCTGTAATCCCAGTACTTTCTGAGGCCAAGACAGGAGGATTGCTTGAGCCCAAGAGATTGGAACATAGTGAGACCTCATCTCTCCAAAAAAAAAAAATCAAAACATTTGCCAGATGTGGTGGTGCATGCCTGTAGTCCCCTACTCGGAGGCTGAAGCAGGAGGATTGCATGAGCCCAGGAACTCAAGGCTGTGGTTAGTTATGATCATGCCATGGTACTCCAGCCTGGGTGACATAGTGAGACCTCAATTTAAACACAAAAAAACCCAAAGACTAAACATATGTACATATAGATCCTAAGTATATACCAAAAAGAAATAAAATATATATACACACACAAATTTGTACATGAATGTTCACAGTAGAATTAATCATAATAACCAAAATATGGAAACAATTCAAATGTTCATTAATGGATGAATAAATAAAGAAAACACAGCATAGCCATACAGTGGAATATGCTACAGCATTGATGAACCATGAAAAAAATTATACGAAGTGAAAGAAGCTAATCACAAAAGACCATTTTTGTATGATTCTGTTTATATGAAATGTTCAGAATAGACAACTCTATAGAGACAGAAAACAGAGTATAGTGGTTACTAGAGCTACAGTTGATAGGAATGAGAAGTGACTGCTAATGCTGGTAGAGGGTTCTTTTGGGGGTGATAAAAATGATCTAAATTTAGATTGTGGTGAACATTGCACAATTTTGTGAATATACTAAAACCAATTACTTGTATGCTGTAAATGAGTGAATTTTATGACATATGGATCATAGCTCAATAATGATGTTAAAACTGAAAATAAGGGGATTTTTCATTTCCAAAATTATGTAATTACACAATGCAAACCCATCACAGCCTACATCCTATCAACTGAAAATGCACTCCTAACTACATAAGGAGGAACCCACAGAAAAACAGAGATAAAGCACAACTTTAAACACTGTATGACTGCAGCAGACTTTCAGAAAATATCAACAAACAACTTAGAACAACTGCAAATGAGAAGGCTCTTTTCAGACAAATATTTTAGAGTCACAGAGGCAGGTGTTCCAAGTAGAGGCTGCTGCCATAAATAAATGACAGATGTTACACACAGTGGTTGAAAATTATATTTAGCTATATATCAGTCTTCACCCTCAGCCAATCCGGATTTCAATCACCATTAGTAATGCAACCTTAAGATATAAGACAGAGACTAAAAAGTCAAATTAATATTATGTAAAATGCTAGCAACACCTGACTTTCTTCTAATAAATTACATTTCATCACTTTTGTATTTACATATGTAAAGCACTCCCCTATAAGGCCCTGGTACCTATGATACCTACTGATTCTGCTTGGTAAGAAAGCACTTTGAAGTAGTCCTTCTCAACAGCAGTCTTCTGCATAGCCAAATGGGACTCAGTGGATCTTCTCTGCATTAATTTAACATATAATTGCTCCAGACTCTGGAAAATAAAACCACAATACAACGTAATGATGAGAATATCCATAGGTGTTACTACTAATAATTGCCTACACCAAAAATCAATGGTAACTTACAGCCATGGCAGCTTGAAAAAATTCATCAGCCATCAGAGCATTTCCAAAATTCAACCACCCTTTTCCTGTTTTCAAATTCATCTAGAAAAGAGAAATTATAAAATAATTTTTTAAAATGCACACTTCCCCCAAACTGGTTGAGAAGTATTGGAGAAAATATTTAATCTTTTGTCCATATTCAGTCTCATAACCCACCATAAACAAAAAGCAACAATCAGCATTTATTAGAGTTCCATGTTCTGCTTTGAACTCCATAATTTAAGAGAAATGGTCTTAAGAAAAACAATAATAACAAAAAATAATAAACTTGAAAACATACCTTCTGAAGAAATATTAAAAGAAAACATTGGAATAATTTAGGTAGGAAGAGAAAGTGCTGACAAATTAATGTTTCACATACATAAAGTTTTATGATAAGCATTAGATTACATGGGTTTTAGTTTTTAATTCCATGTATAATAAAATTTCAATTAATCCAATAAGTGTTAAGTATCCTGCAAATGGCATAAGGCAGAAACCCACATTACAACATGTAAAAAATGAAAAATGTGGAAACAGTCCTGGGTGTGAACAGTAGGAGCATGAGACAGTTGGCCTTCCCCCAAAACAGTATTTTCCCCTCTCTTCTTGAGTAAGGAACAGTGAGTACAATATTTTCCTTTATTTTTGATTCAAGGGATATAAATGCATGTTTGTTATATGGACATATTGCAAACTGATGGGGATTGGGATTCAGGTGGCCCATTCCCCAGATAGTGAACATTGTACCCAATAGGAAACTTCTGAACCCTGATCCCGCTCCCTACCTCCCCCTTATTAGCATACCCCAGTGTCTATCATTTCCATCTTTGTGGCCATTTAGATCCCACATATAAGTGAGAACGAATGGTGCTTGGTTTTCTGTTTCCAATGTTTTCCAGCTCCATTCATGTGGCAGGAAAGGACACAATTTCATTCTTTTTTATGGTTGTGTAGTATTCTATGGTATATATATACCACATTTTCCAAAACCAGTCAATTGTTGATGGGAACATAGCTTAGTTCCATGATTTTGGTATTGTGAATAGTGCTGCATTGAACATATGAGTACAGGTATCTTTTTTAAATCATGATTTATTTTCCTATGAGTAGATACCTAGTAGAAGTAGGATTGCTGAGTAAAATGGTAGTTCCATTTTTAGTTCTTTGAGAAATCTCCAAACTGTTGTCCATAGAGTTCTAACTAGTTTACAATCCCACCTACAGGGTATGAGTGTTCCCTTTTCTCTGCATCCGTGACAACATCTGTTGTTCTTTCACTTTTTAATAATAGCCATTCTGACTGGTGTAAGATGATATCTCATTGTGGTTTTAATTTGCATTTCTCTGATGATTAGTGATGTTGGGCATTTTTTCATATGTTTGTTGGCCACTTGTATGTCTTCTTTTGACCACTTTTGATGTCCTTTGCCCATTTATTGATACAGTTGTTTTCTCCATGTTGAGTTGTTTGAGTTCCTTGTAGATTCTGGATACTAGTCCTTTGTCTGAGGCATAACTTGCAAATATTTCCTTCCATTCCATAGGTTTTCTGTTCACTGTTATTTCTTTTGCTGTGCAGAAGATTTTTAGTTTAATTAAGTCTCACTTGTCTAGTTTGGGTTTTGTTGTATTTCCTTTTGGGTATCTTTGTCATAAATTCTTTTCATTGGCTGATGTCCAGAAAAGTTTTTCTTAGGTTTTCTTCTAGTATTTTTACAGTTTCAGGTCTTACATGTACGTCTTTAATCCATCTTGAGTTAATTTTTGTATAGGATGAGAGGTAAAGATTTAGTTTCATTCTTCTGCATGTGGCTAGCCAGTATTCCCAGCACTATATATTGCATAGGGTGTCCTTTCCCCATTGTTAATCCCTGTTGGCTTTGATCAATTAAGTGTAGGTATGTGCCTTTATTTCTGTGTTCTCTGTTCTGCTCCATTGATCAGTCTATTCTTATACCAGTACCTTGCTATTTTAGTTACTACAGCCTTGTAGTATAATTTGAAATCAGGCAATGTGAAGCCTCCACATTTCTTCTTTTTACTTATTGTTTCTTTGGCTATTTGGGCTCTTCTTTGGTTCCACATAAACTTTCGAATTGTTTCTTCTAGTTCTGTGAAAAATGATGTTGGTATCTTGATAAGGATTGTGTTGAATCTGTATATAGTTTTGGGGAGTATAGTCATTTTAATAACATTGATTCTTCTGATACATAAGCATGAGATGTTCTTCCACTTCTTTGCGTCATCTACAATTTCTCTCATCAGCGTTTTGTAGTTCTCCTTACAGTGATCTTTCACTTCCTTGGTAAATGTATTCTTAGGTATACTTAATTGTGACAATTATAAATGAGATTGTGCTCATGATTTGGTTCTTGGCTTAAGTGTTGTTGGTGTATAGAAATGCTACTGAGAATGTGAGTACTTAGCTGAGTGTGAGTACTGAGAACGTGAGCTTCACCACTTGCTCCATCACCTTCTCTACCATCTACCAGTCCCTAAGCTCCATCCAGTTACCCAGCCTCCAGTACACCAGCAGCACAGCCAGCATCTATTCATATGCCAGGGGCTCAGGTTCCCAGATCTCTGTGTCCTGCTCGATCAGCTTCCAGGGTGACTGGGGGTCCAGTGGCCTGACCATGAGGATGGCTGGGAGTCTGGGGGCATCCAGAGCGAGAAGGAGACCATGCAAGAGCTGAACAACTGCCTGACCTCCTATTTGGACAGGGTGAGGAGCCTGGAAACTGATACTCTAAGGCTGGAGAGCAAAATCTGGGACCACCTGGGGAAGAAGGGACCCCAGGTCAGAGACTGGGGGCATTAACTCAAGACCATAGAGTACCCAAGGGTTCAGATCTTTGCAACTTCTATGTCCAATACTTGCATCGTTCTTCAGATTGACAGCACCCATCTTTCTGCTGATGACTTTAAAGTCAAGTATGAGACAGAGCAGCATCAATGGGCTCCACAAAGTCATTGATGACACCAATATCAGTGGCTGAAGCTGCAGACAGAGATAAAAGCCCTCAAGGAGGAGCTGCTCTTCATGAAGAAGAACCATGAGGAAGAAGTAAAAGGCCTACAAGCCCAGATTGCCAGTTCTGGGTTGACCATGGAGGTAGATGCCCCCAAATCTCAGGACCTCAGCAGGATCATAGCAGACATCTGGGCCCAGTATGACAAGCTGGCTCATAAGAACCGAGAGGAGCTGGACAAGTACTGGTCCCAGCAGATCGAGGAGAGCACCACAATGTTCACCATGCAGTCCTCCGAGATCAGAGTTGCAGAGATGACATCCACAGAGCTGAGACGTACAGTACAGTCCTTGGAGATCAACCTGAACTTGATAAGAAACCTGAAGGCCAGCTTGGAGAACAGCTTGAGGGAGGTGAAGGCCCACTAGCCCATGTAGATGGAGCAGCTCATCAACAGGGCCTTGCTGCACCTGGAGTCCGAATCGGTACTGATCCAGGCAGAGGCCCTGCTGAACATCAAGGCCAAGCTGGAGGCTGAGATCACCACCTACCACTGCCTGCTGGAGAGGACTTCAGTATCAATAATGCCCTGGACAACAGCAGCTCCATTCAGACCATCCAAAAGACCACCACTCACAGGACAGTGGACAGCAAAGTGGTGTCTGAGACCAATGACACCAAAGTTCTGAGGCACTGAGGTGGCAGGAACAGGGTACCCTTTGGGGGAGCAGGAGGCCAATAAAAAGTTCAAAGGACAAAAAAAGCAATGTTACTAATTTTTGTACATTGTCTTTGTATCCTGAACGTTCATTGAAGTCATTTATAAGGACTAAGAGTCTCTTGGAGGACTCCTTGTGTTTTCTAAATATACAATCATGTTATCAGCAAACAGTTTGATTTCCTCCTTGCCAATCTGAATGCCTTTTATTTCTATCTCTTGCCTGATTGCTTTTGCTAGGACTTCCACTACAATGTTGAATAAGAGTGGTGAGAGTAGACACCCTTGTCTTGTTCCAGTTCTGAGGGGGGATATTTTCAACTTTTCCTCATTAAGTATGATGTTGGTTGTGGGTTTGTCAAATATGGTTCTTATTATTTTGAGATATATTTCCTCAATGTCCAGACTGTTGAGAGTTTTATCATGAAGGGATGTTGGATTTTATTGAATCTTTCTTTATCTATCGAGATGCTCATTTGGTTTTTAAAAATTCTGTTTATGTGGTGAATCACATTTATTAATTTGTGGATATTGAACTACCCTTGCATCCCTGGAATAAAACCCACTTGGTTGTGAGGAATTTTTTTTTAATGTGCTATGGAATTTGGTTTCCTGGTATTTTCTTGAGGATTTTTTGCATCTGTGTTCATCAGGGATTTGGCCTGTAGTTTTCTTTTTTTGTTGTGTCCTTGCCTGATCCTGGTTATCAGGGTCATACTGGTTTTATAGAAGGAAGTAGGGAGGAGTCCTTCCTCCTCGTTTTTTTGGAATAGTTTCAGTAACACTGGTACCAGCTCTTCTTTATACATAAAATTTGGTTGTGACTCCATCTAGTCCTGGGCTTTTTTTGTTGGAAGATTTTATTTTTATTACCGATTCAAATTCATTGTTCATTGTTGGTATATTCAGGGTTCCTATTTCTTCCTTTTACCAGGAAGGTTGGGAGGTTGTATGCTTCCAGGAACTTACTCATTTCCTCTTGTGTTCTCCAGTTTGTTGCCATAGATGTGTTCATAGTAGAGTCTAATGATCTTTTGTACTTGTTTGCTATTAGTTGTAATCTCACTTCTATTATCTCTGATTGTATTTATTTGAGTCTTCTCTCTTTTTTTCTTGGTTAGTCTAGCAAGTAGACTGTCAATTTTTTGTTTATCCTCTCAAAGAACCAACTTTTTGATTCATTGATCCTTTGTAATTTTTTTTGTCTCAATCTCATTTAGTTCTGCTCCGATCTTTGTTATTTATTTTTACTCTGCTAGGTTTGGGTTTAGATTGTTCTTGAGGTATAAGTTAAGCTGTTTTTCTAGTCCCTTGAGGTGTGAGTTAAGCTGTTGATTTCATATCTTTCTATCTTTTTGATGTAGGCATTTAATGCCATAAACTTTCCTCTTAGGACTGCTTTTGTTATATCCCAGAGCTTTGGTATGTTGTGTCCCTATTTTCAATTGTTTTGATGAATTTTTTAATATTTGCCTTAATTTCATTGTTTACCTAAAGGACATTCAAGAACAAGTTGTTCAGTTTCCATGTAGTTGGAGGAGTTCCTTCTAGTGTTAATTTCTAATTTTATTCCACTTTGATCTGAGAATATGTTTGGTATAATTTTGATATTTTTGAATTTTTTGAGACTTGCTTTATGGATAAGCATATGGTTGATTTTGGAGAACACTTCATGCACAGATAAGAAGAATGTGTATTCTATAATTGTTAGATGGAATGTTCTGCAGATGTCTGTTAGGTTCATTTGGTCTGTAGCTCAATTTAAGTCCAGTGTTTCCTTGTAGATTTTTTTCTTTATCTGTCTAGTGATGTCAATGAGGTGTTGAAGTCCCCCACTGCCATTGCATTGCTATCAATATATTTTCTAATGTAAAGTAGTGTTTGCTTCATGAATTTGGGTGCTCCAGTGTTGGGTGCATATATATTTAAGATAGTAAAATCTTGTTGAATTGCATCCTTTCTCATTATCTAATTCCCTTCTTTCTCTTTTTTTTCTGTTGGTTTAACATCTATTTTACCAGATATGAAGATAACTATCCGTGATTCTTTTTCTTTTCCATTCATATGATATATCTTTTTCTACCCACTTACTTTGAGTATGTGACTGTCTTTGGCCAGTATGTGGGTCTTTGTAGACAGCAGATGATTGGCTTGTTTTTTAAAATCCAGTTAGCACTCTGTATTTTTTAAGTGGGCATTTAGGCCATTTACATTCAGGATTAATATTGATCAGTGGGGTTTCGTTCCTGCCATAGTATTGTTAGTTAGCTGCTACAGGGTTTCAAATGTGTAGTTGCTTTATAAGATCTGTAAGCTTTGTACTTATGTGACCTTTTATGACAACAAAGTATTGTCATTTCATTTCCATGTTTAGTACTCCTTCAGGCATCTCCTGTAGAGCTGGTATTGTGATGACAAATTCCCTTAGTATCTGTTTGTCAGGGAAGGACTTTATTTCTCCTTCATTTATGAAGCTTAGTTTAAAAATTAGCAGGCTACAGAATTCTTCACTGACTTTTTTTTCTTTAAGGAAATTAAAAATAGGCCCCCAATCTCTTCTGGCTTATAGGGTTTTTGCTGTTATTCTACTATCCTTTCTTTTATAGGTGATTTGGTGCTTCTCTCTTACTACTCTTAGGTTATTATCTTTCACAGACTTTGGATAGTCTGACAAATATATGCCTTGGTGAGTTTCTCCTTGTATCTTGCAGTTCTTAAAGCTTCTTGTATCTGGATGTCTAGATCTCTCTCAAGACCAGGAAGGTTTTCTTGAATTATTCCCTCAAATATGTTTTCCATGGTTTTCTCTTTAACTTATTCTCCATCTGGAATGCCTATGATTCATAGATTTGGATACTTTACATAATCTCATATTTCTCAATGGCTTTTTTCATTTTTTAAATTATTTTTTCTTAATTTTTATCTGACTGGGTTTTGAAAGACTTGTCTTCCAGCTCTGAGATTCTTTTTTTTGTAAAGATATGTACAATTCAGGGTTAGATATATAAATAATCATTGTACAGGTAAAGTTTGTGCCTCACTTTGGTCCCCACTTGCTCTGAGATTCCTCTAATTGGTCTAGCCAACTATTAAAACTTTTAATTGTGTTTTGTATCTCCTTCAATTAGTTTTTTAGTTCTGTTTGGAGTTTTTTTTAAATGGTGTTAATCTCTCCTTTCACATTCTCAATTGTTCTACTGACTTCTGTGTTGCTTTTTAGTTTTCTATTAGATCTTGTTGAGTTTCTTTATAAAGTCAATATTTTGAATTCTTTATCTGTTATTTATTTTATTTATTTTTTTTATTTTTTTTTTTTTTGAGTTGGAGTCTCACTCTGTCACCCAGACTGGAGTGCAGTGGCCGCTCCCGGCCATCGCAGCCTTGACCTGCTGCGCTCCGGCAATCCTTCCGCCTCAGCCTTCCAAGTAGCTGGAACTACAGGCACACGCTGCCATTCCCGGCTGATTTTTGATTTATTGTAGAGATGAGGTCTTCCAAGTTGCCCAGGTGGGTCTCAAACCCGCGGGCTCAGGCAATCCACTCACTTCAGTCTCCCAAGGCACGGGATTACAGGCTTAGCCACCGAGCCTGGCTTTTATCTGATATTTCAAGGGTTTCATTTTAGCTAAAACATGGTGTTGGCAAGTTAGTGTTCCCCTTTGAAAGGATAACACTCTGTTTTTCATACTTTCAGAGTTGTTTATCTGGTTCTTTTTCATCTGGATAAACTATCTCATATCTTTTGAATGTGTTTGTATTTGGACAGGATTTTTCTCCCCTTAGTGAGTTGGCTAGAGTGTATATTGTGTAGCATCCTTTGGCTTTGGTTCTGGTTCTCTCAGTGGCAACTAGTCTGTATAAGTACCTTGGATATAGATAACCAGCACATGTAGGCTTACCCAAGTGTTGGTTGTAGTGTGAGCTGACTCACTGCCTCCTATGGAGCCGGGATAGCAGGGGATCTCAGAAAGCTAATCCTGTTCCTTAGTGGTGTGCACTGGTGCCAGTAGATTTCCTATTGTGTTGTGTCATTCAACCTCCAAGCCAGCAGATGGCACCTACGGGTAAGAGCAGGCTACTGCCAACATGGATGGGTACTTACTTGATCCTTGTTTACTGGGAGAAGCTCTCTGTTGTCTTAGGCAGTGAGCTGATCTGTGGAGTGCATGGTGGTCTGAGCTCCCAGACACAGGTGAACCAAGATGGGCTGGGCCAGACCAGGCAGGCCTACATACAGGTCAACCAACCACAGACACAAGCACCAGTTCTGAGGTATGCAGCTACTGAGCACCCAGAGGTGTGCCTAGGCTGGGGAACCTCCACTACTCCAAATTCTCTTTAGAGGAAGAGGAGGCAGCCTAAACTCCTAAAATAGATGAGTGGGTGCTCCAGATACCTGTGGATATATCTGGGCATTGAGCAGAGAGAGCACCACTACACTAAGAAACCTGCTGCTGGAGGGAGGAGCAGCCCAGGCTCCTACTCCAGGTGAGCAAGAGTGTTAGATACCTGGGAATATTCCCCAATGAAGAGCAGATAAACTGCCGCTGTAACAAATTATTTGCAGAGTATGGAAGGGCATCTCAAGCTCCTATTTCAGGAGAGCAGATGTGCCTCTGGTTTGGTGGAATGCCTGGGGAAGAGGTAGAGAGATCATTGCCACAACAAAGTGTTTGCAGAAGAGGGAGGGGTGATTCAGTTTTCTGGTCTATGGTCACATGCTTGTCGAATGTCCAGGGTGAAGCCCAGGTATGGGGCAGAGGGAGTACTGTTGCACTAGGTTGTCTATGTAGGAAAGGGGTGGTGGGCCAAGGTTCACAAGAATGTGGTCTCTCCTGTCCTCAGTATTGCTGGAGCATACTACTTCAACTAGCCCACTGGAAGCCTGGAGTCATGTTCAGGTGTGGAGCAGAGAGTGTGCTATTGCACCCAGGTCTCTGCTCAGGGGGGGAGGGGCAGCTCAAGCCCCTAATCCAGGTAAATGGGAGCACCAACTATCTAAAAATATGCCCTGGTGAGGAGCAGAGTAATCTACTTTATGAGAA